GTTCGCCACAGGGTGGTATACAAATAACTATTATTATTATTATTATTACAACTTCCATCAACCCTAGCCAGCACAGCCAATGTTGAATAATGATAGGAGTTGCTTTTCCAAAACATCTCTAGGAATACATGATTCCCACCCCTTATTTAAGGAGGTATTTGGTGACAGCAGATAGGGCTGTTAATAGGGAAAGAGTGTAATGTTTTTTTATTTCATCATGTTTTAAATGCCTTTTAATGCTGTTTAAACTTGTGTTTTTAAATTAGTTGGTTTAATTGTATTTTAACTTTTATATCAAGAGATTAATTGTATTGTGTTTTTAAGATGTTGTGCATTGCCTTGGCTCCTGCACCAGGAGAAAGGCAGGATGGAAATAAAATAAAATAAGAAATTGATTAGATCAGTGGGACCTGCAATAAAATGTCACCGCAAGGGATGCCTCGTCTACCTAGTTTGTTCCTTCGTTTGGCTGTTGCAGGCTGCAGCCCATGACAATGAAGAGATAATGAGAGCTTCAGTTTTACTACTGTTTATGACAGATCTATATAGAAGATGGGCACTTTCATATTACACAATTTTTGCATTATGATTCCATTTTAACAGCCAAGACAACTTCCAGAGGAATCCTAAGATTTATAGTTTACGAGGAGAATTTAGCATTCTCAGCCCCAGATTTCACATGATGTAACCATGGGAGTTAAGGTAGAGTGCAGCATTGTAATTGTGTACTGTGAAAGAGCCCAAAGTCAGGACTACAAAAATATTTTAAGACATATTAGATACCTCTTTCTTTTTCTTTGACAAAGTTCCCACTTCACAGTATCACTTTAAGTAGTAACTCTGCTTTGTGTAAAAGTTTAATATGTTTTATAAATCTAACATATGCAGTTACTAATAAGAAGACACCCTCCAGCTGCCCCAAATCGGCAGGGACAGTTCCAGTTAATCCTCTGTTGTTTCACTTGTTCAGCAGTTTAAAATGTCCTGGTTTCTCTGTTCTCCTCCCACTTTCCCACTTTCTCCTCAGCCTACTTCATATTCTATACATTGAATTCGAAGGGCAAAAGTAGTTTGTGCTCAGCTCAACAGGGGAGAGGAGGCAGAACCTTTACCTTTCCAGTAGGCTCAGGCAAAAGTGAACTGATGCAACCTTTTCTAGTTTCCTCCTCATTTATAACTTTTGTCATCCTTACCACAACTCTGATGTTGCTTGGCCACATGTGTCCCAGTTTTCATCTGTAAAATGATGGAAGGTAATGTAAGCAACACAGCAATCAGGTAAGTACACATAGGATTGCAGTCATACCTCATTAACTTTTCAAAGTGTACACATCTTTGTATGTATTTTTCAAATGCATTTTTAGTCAGGCACAATTTTGAACTCTGTATGATTTTGTGTACATCTGTGTCAGAAATGCATTGCAGGGTTTACAAATGTGTGGATTTCTCAAGTGAGATGAGCATTAATCTCTTGTCAGTTTGAGAGAGATGTGAAAAGGATAATTCCATGAAGAAATTCAAACCCCACAAAATTAGAAAATTAGTTTCCATCTCTAGGCCAAAAAGATAGATCTGGATTTCTTCCACACTGGACCCCTTTAACAGTGCTAGAGAATTGCTCTTCTATAATTAAGTGAATGCCAAATTAAAATGGAGGGTTAACAAAGCACTCAATGTACTTTTACATTGTCCAGCAATCTTCTCCGTGGCCAAAAGATTTCTATAATGTTCATTCTCAGATAGTCCCCCAGTGAAATTCATTGGAAGTTTCCTCCCTGGAAGTTTTGTTTATCTTATTTCTTCCTATTTCATGGTGTAGTATTTATAACTAGGCAACTTATTTTTGAAGTACTTAATTACTGGTTTCTTTTCATTAATTTTTAAAGTTTGTGTCATAGAGAAACCTACCCTCCAATGTTTCATGGATGAAAAAAGTGTAGCCAAGGAACATCACAGTGTGGGCAGGATGTCAAAGGTTAAGAAGACACAAGTTACAAGAGGGTACAGCAGTTCACTTTTGCCTGAGCCTACTGGGAAGGGTGATATTCAACTCCATCCTCTCTTCTCACCCTTTTGCACTTTGAACTCTGCTCACAGCAAGTAGGGAGAAAGTGAGAAGAGAAAAGAAAAACTGGAAAAATTTTAAAAGATCTGAAAAAGTAGGACAACAGGTCATCATTCAAGACTATCCGTGCAGAATCAGGATAGTTGGAGTGTATAATATTTAATAATAATATTTATTTATTTGTATCCCA